TGGGGGGGGGGGTAGGAGGGTGGAAAAACCATTAGTATTTTTTCGAACATGGGAAAATTGAAAATATTTTTTTGTCGTACCAAACGCACTAAATGAAACAAAAAAAGGGAAAAAGACATTATACCAGTGATAAAGCCTTTGTGATCTCTGATAATTCCAGTTTTTACAATTCCAGGATGGACTGCATTGATAGTTACATTTGCATTTCTTGCCTGTTCCACCCCAAATAATTATAATTTCAGTATTGCAATTTGCAACTATACAAATATATAAAGACAAAAAACAATTTATTTATTTTTTGGAAAATATATATAGTGACCAATGAAGGAAAAAGAAGTACTTGTCATTTTGTGTACAGCACTAATAGTGCAAATAAAAGCTGGCATGATTCTAAATCCAATTCCCTAGTTTCTTACATGTCTTTGAGTTTTGTCATAGAATTTATCAGTGAGTTGTCTAATCAATGATATAATTGAGTGGTAAGAAAAACTGCTTACTACAAATTAAAATCCAATTACATGATTAGATTTGCTTAATTACCACAACAACAAAAAATTATTGGTGAATTGACTATGTTTTGATTGCTTAACTAGAGGGCTAACCACATTTTACACTGATTATGTTTTGATTGCTTAACTAATTGGACATAGTAATCTTATATTGGTAGAATACATAAGCTGCCCTCTAGATTTAATTAGTCGGAATTTTTCCTAGACGCCTAGACTAAGGGTTGTATCTATTTCAAGTCAAACGCACAAGATCAAAATGTTCCATAGGTACATATCTTGGTTCAGGTGTCTAAATGAAAAAAATAATCTTGTGTATTTTGCCTTGTTCATTATATCGTCCTCCACATATATTCATGGTAGATGCATAGAAAACCTAGCTATTACAGGTTATGAAAGAATAAATTGATTTACAGTCTATCTATTTTGATGAAAATAAAGAAATTAAATCGCATACATGAACACAAGTAAAATAAAGGTGTAATGAGGGAATTAATTAGTTACCTTTAGTTGTCTTGACAATTCCTTGGCATGTAAAATGTTGGCTAATTTTGATTGAGCATATGCACGAGTACCATTATAACTGTGTTGAACACATTATATACTAAGTTAGAGTAAGTAATGATCAATCTTGTATAACAACAATAAATTACTCAGTGTAATCTCACAAGCACGGTCTCGGAAATCTTGTATAACAAGCTAAGTAATGAAATATTTGCTAATTAAATGCTAGGAGGATTAAATTATATTAATTATATTATACTATACTTACTATTTTTTAGGATTGAGCAATTGGGAGAAACGGAATTGATCTCTTTTCACCCAATTATGAACTA